GGAAGCACACACGATTGCCAGGGTCAGTAAGTAGTGACAATCTTTTGCCTGCCCACATGTTGGTGGAGTCAGAACATGCTCAAGGAGTCAAGTTCCGACAACAGTTGGCGTTTCACGAGACTGCCAGAAGGGCGTTCCATAGCGCTGACAATGATGCTGTGTTGAGAAGGTCCATGTTGCGTCGATCCCATCCACACCGTGGATGGTACCAACCGGGGGAATGGGTCATGGCATGGAAGGAAGGAAATGGGCAAAGCACCGGGTTTTGGCAAGGCCCCATGAAGGTGGTAGTCCACGAAAATCAACAAACAGTATGGGTGACCATGTCCAGTAAGCTGTATCGGTGCGCCCCGGAACATGTCCGACCTGTCACTGCAGCCGAAGCCAAAGATATCCTGCAGAGGCCCAACGAGCCAACCATCTCTGAAATTGCTCAGCAGCTCCCGAGCGAAGTCTCCGGAGCACTGACCAGGTATGTTGATCTCAGTATGCCAGTGGAAATTCCTTCAAATTCCCCTATCACCAACAATCAACCTACTGAAGACAATAATCCAAATAACTCCAGTAATGAAGACCAACCTGATAACGAACCTGAAATACCCTCCAGCAATGCCACAGAAAGGGAAATGGCCAACAATGATGGTATTCCCATGGAAGAAGATCCCAAGGACATACCCGTTCCAGATGATGATGATGATCTCATATGCGAAGGCCTGCATAGCATAGATGCTGAGGTAAACGTTCTTGAAGAAACCACTGGAGATCTTGCCTGGAGAGCCGAAATTTTGGTGACTGACAGTGATATCCAAAGCTGGAGAGATGCAGATTTCCCCGAGGAGATGTCGTTCTTGGTGTCAGCCGCAAAAAGACAGCGATCGGAAGTGAAACTGTCTGAGCTGTCACCGTCTGAAAAGGCAGAATTTGCAGCCGCCAAGGAAACCGAGGTGTCCAACTGGCTTAAGACTGGAACAGTTCAAAAGATGTTCAGACATCAAATCCCTCAAGAGCAAGTATTAAGGTGTCGCTGGATACTCACCTGGAAGCCCATAGATGAAGGTGACCGAGACCCAAAGAATCCAATGAAAAGTACCAAGGCCAAAGCAAGACTAGTGGTTCTGGGGTACTTGGATCCGAAGATCACTGAAATTCCACGTGATTCACCGACACTGAACAGACATTCGAAAATGCTGTTGCTTCAAATGATTGCCTCAAGGTCATGGGATTTGAGATCGTTTGACATCAAGGCTGCCTTTTTGCAGGGTAAACCACAGAGCGGCCGCATCCTGGGAATCGAACCGGTTCCCGAACTTGCAGCCAAGATGGGACTGAAACCCAATGAGATATGTCGTTTAACCAAAAGTGCGTATGGTCTCATTGATGCACCATTTTTGTGGTTCCAAGCTCTGAAGGAAGAATTAATGCAGCTAGGTTTTGAACAATCCCCATTTTGCCCTTGCACCTTTATCCTACGATGTCCCACTACCCATGCTCCAGAAGGAATCATTGGGGTACACGTGGATGATGGTTTATGTGGTGGAAACCAACGATTCATGTCCAAGTTGAGAGAACTTGAGAGAAAATATCCATTCGGATCACAAAAGATGGGCCAATTTACTTTCACCGGAATTGACATGTTCCAACACCCAAACAAAGCCATTACTTTATCCCAAAGCAACTATGTGAAAGCCATTACTCCCATTGAAGTTTCCATTGAACGTCGAAAAGATGAAACCACACCTATCAATGCAGAAGAGAAAATGGCTCTCAGAGGTCTCATCGGTAGTCTGCAGTATGCGTCAGTACATACCCGACCTGATTTGGCAAGCAGGTTATCATTTCTCCAATCCGACATCAACAGTGCCACAATTGCCACCTTACTGGAAGCCAACAGAACACTTCATGAAGCCAAACGCCATTCCAATGTTTCAATTACCATTCACCCAATCGCCTGTGATGACCTTCGTTTTCTTGCATTTTCTGATGCATCCTTCGCGTCGAAAAAGACCCCTGACTCACACACTGGATGCATAATCATGAGTACCCATAAGGAAATAGGTAATAACACCACTTGTGTTGTTAACCCAATTTCATGGGGATGTAAGAAGATTCAACGGGTAGTAACAAGTACGTTGGCCGCAGAGACCGTATCACTTAGTACTGTGCTTGATCAACTTTCCTGGATAAGATCATGTTGGGCATGGCTTCTGGACAACCGAGTCCCATGGCAGAAACCAGAAAAAGCCCTGCTTGAGCTGCCAGAATCGTTTTCAACCGCCACAGTCAAATCACAACAGCTCCCTGAAGGTACAATTGCGACTGATTGTAAATGCCTTTTCGACCTTGTAACCAGAACAGCAGTTTCAGCATGCAGTGAGTCACAACTGAATGCGCGCCGAATCAAAGATCTTCTGGCGGAAGGAGTCCAGGTCCGGTGGGTTCATTCAGGAGCTCAGCTTGCAGACAGTTTGACCAAAATAATGGATACCAGCTTCTTGCGTGAAACCTTGATGCAGGGAAAATACAGATTGAACGATGAACTTGAGATCCTGAAAGCCCGGCTGGATAAGCGAACCAGGCTTAAGTGGCTGAAATCAAATTGCGCTGAAGCCAATTGCAATGCGCCATCACTTCTCTGCGAAAGTTTTGATATTGAGAGATTTTTGGGAGTGTGAATTCCAAAGCATTGCAATGATGTTCACTGACAAGATACGGGATCCTCCATGTTCACCACAATCCACAGTTTTCCTTTCAATGGGTGTTACCATCATGCGCTGTCCAATTCAGCAACTGAAGGCTCAGGGCCCCTTTCAGGTGAAGCGGTGGGAGGGATACCGTTGCTTGTCCGCCATTTGCTATAGCACAGGGTGCATCTAGGACGAGGCGTCCTCAAATTGCCGGCCTTGCATTTGCCATCTCATCGCCACTTACTTGTGGCCGCTGCCAAGGGGAAAAGTTGCGCTCACTTTGAGCTTTGCAGGTTCTTGGAGTGGAAGGGCTGCCAGTGTGATATCCCAATCACAGTATGTGTATACATGTGTATATATAAGTAAATGTATACATATGTAAATATATAAATATGTACATATATATATATATACATATATTCATCCAGCCTGGTGTTTTTTAAGAATATATGGAAATAGTCTGTACTGTGGGCGGAATTCAAAAATAACTAATAACTATTTAGTTGCCACTGCTGGGGAAAAAACATCTACATCCCATCTATATTCATCTCAAAGTTTGATATAGTGGATTCATGTCGTTATTAATATGGACGGCTTCTTAACCAACAAAACATGCTATACGATAGATAACTCTTTTTGGATTTACGTGTCACCTTGGTTGAAAATTATCATTTGTCAAATGATGAAATATCTAAGTGTAAATAGATTTCACATGGTTTCACCAAAACATTGCTAAGTTGATAAATTCACTGGAGAAATGAATACGTCAATAGCTATTAGGAGTACCTTATAACCATGGTTGTTTTTCAAAACTTGCCGTCATCAGCTCCAGCACTTCTACTGTAAATGGGATCACCCATTGAAGCCACTTATGACTCTGTGGATGCATATCCGTGCTAAGAAAAAAAACGTGGTCATTCATCAGTTGCAAAGTGAGACCAACTTGCGAAGTAAGTTCCAAAGCAGACCCACTGCAATTTTCAGTTCCTTCTTTTGAAGGGGTGGACGTCTTCCCTTTCTTTTCAGGAGTTGCAGTGATTGATGGCACAACGTGTGGGAATAGACGGCACAAGGAGGCCATTTTTTGGTAGATTCCGCAACTGCGGATATTTTTGGACACCCCCACTTCTCTTTGGAGTACCCTCTGGTAAACTAACATAACTATGGAAAATCACCATTTCTAATGGGTAAATCCAAGAAATATGGCCATTTTCAATAGCTATGTTAGTTTACCATCCCCAAAAACACCATCAAAGTGATAATGGGCTGTTTTTTCTCCATCCCCAAGTGATGAACGGTTCATGGTTGGGTTGCCCACATTAAAAGATATGGGAAATGGGAAACCTGGAACATCCCAAGAATTCTGTTTCAACCTGGTCCAGCTGGTATGATTTCATTGCGTCCATCCCATCTGCCAAAATTACTTTATTTCTTACCTCGTCTCCCTCGTGTGCTATTTAGAGATCCCAATACTATCTCCCTGGGCCCCCAACTAACGTTCCGGTCCCAAACGATGTGGTTTCATCCCGTATATCCACCATGGTTTCTGGAAGGGCAGTTCATTTTTATTCCTTGACATTCAAAATTTCCTATGATATTTCCCATGAGATATCTCCCACTATATATATATAATGGGTGATATCTCATGGAAATGTAGGATCTAATTTATCTTCTATGGAGGTTCTGTACTGTCATATATATATATATAAGTTACAGATATATCAACCCTGGATTAATAAACCCCATTTAAGGCTGTTAAATGGGAAGGTACCATTTAAGTATTAGATGAAATGACTATTGGGTAACATAAAAATATTACAGAAAGATAAATAGATATATTACATATATATATATATATATTACTTATATAATATATATTACAGATATATTCTGGTTGGTAGTTTCAACCCCTCTGAAAAATATGAGTTCTATTTATCTATAAAATTTACAGAGATCCCCACAGATCCCTGTGCCTCACGCATGCGTTCCTCCTCTGGATCTACCAGGACTTCGCACTCCAGGGGTTGGATCCTGGATCCCAGGTGATCCCTACTGTGGGTGCCCCGGTGGCACTGAAAGGGGATGGTGCCAAGGAACCATCAAAAATGGCTGGTTTCCTTGATTTTTCAGTGATTTTTATAAGTTATTCCAGTTATTCTTTGAAGATTTTGAAGTGATTTGAATATATTTGAATGATGTCTAAGTGATGTAACTGATTTTTTGACAAATTGACAGATGGGGAACCCCAATTTTGGGGAAGATATACTTGGAATATCTTGGAATATCACACTGTAGAAGATCCATCCGCAAGAAAATTCACTGGGGCAACAATCTGCTGGCGGATTCGTGTCGCCCATCACATCTCCTGGGCTGAAATTCAGCCACTTTCCTCAGTGACGGCTCGAGAACCGAACTGTTGCTTGGAGCTTGCAGCGATAACTGTAGGAACTGTAGGAACTGTTACATGCATGTTACATGCATGTTATAGCACATCTTGAAAACGTACCACCCACATTCTTCGCGTTGTTTCTGTCCAATGGACAATCACTTCAGACTTGAAACAAGAAGTGTCTCCATGGTTCAACACATGTGCATACTTGGTTTGGAATCATTGAGCTTTCCATGACACCCCTTGACCAGGGCACAACCACCGAAAATGACCCACAGTTTCGGACATTTTTCTGGGTCATGTCATATTTCACTAAGCTGAATCAGCAGGCCCACAATGGCGACTCCCCCAATCCTAACCATGAATCCAGCAAGGTCACATGACGTGAGGTCTCAACCTAATTCATCTCTGGCACCTTACCATCCCAAGGTTGAAAACATTCGGCCGCGTCTCGTCTGTGCCGTGTTGAATTTGGCCCGACTTGCCTGGGATGGAAATGAATAGCAAAGGCAACCATAGTATACCATAGTATACCATAGTATACCATAGTATACCATAGTATACCATAGTACACCATAGTATACCATAGTATACCATAGTATACCATAATTACATCTAATATCATCTAATTTCCCTTTCCAGAGAAACTGTTCATTGGCAAATTGGTCGTATTTCTGGATTTTCTTCACTAGCTGTGTTATAGTGAATATGTCTGGTGCTTTGGGGTAGTAACCAATCCACAAGTGATAAACCAACCAACGAAAACATCAACCTCCAAGCAACAACGAGGATGCAGGAGGATCCGAAACGAAACTGGTTGATATAGCTACAACATGCTACAATCAAATCTAGGGAAGTCACCAACAAAGGAGATGTAAAGAAAAAACATAGGGTTTGTTTGACCATGATGAAAATCAATTGGGGCCCGTTTGCTATACCATTTACACCATCATTTCGCCAAAATGGTTGTGGAAATGGGGGCTTGCCCTCGATAATGTCTCGAACACCAATCAGCAGAAGACGGACATCGCAGCAGGACTCGCAGGCTGATGTTGGCTGTTGTCCTCACCCAATGGTGTGGGTAAATGATCGAAAATTGTCTAAACTGGAAGCAAACCCATTTGGGCTGAATTTCCATAACCATCACAACCATAGGGTTTTTTTGTAAGGGCTCGTGACATCATTTACCCCTCAGATTGGGAGAAACCCACCAATAGCCCATCATTTCTTGGGTGCTGGAACCCAGAACTTCAAACACGGCCACAATAAGCTAGTCACTAAGTCGGCTTCCATGATATCCATGATATACCGATCAAACATCCCCATCATAAAAAGTGTTCCTAGTTCAATCCCAAGCCAAAACTTTCCCATGACAGACATTGGCTGCACCGGGTTGCTGGAGCTCTTCGAAGCTTGGGAGCCTTGGCGGCGCTCTGGTTGGCCTCGATCAGCAAACGCCCCTAGAGCCCTGCTCTTGAAGAGTTGGGTTGCCTAAAAAAGAATGATGTCATCATCGTGGTAGAGTCACTATCAAATTTCGGGAGCCTCAGGTTGTACCAGACTGGAGAATTTCACTAATCATCAAGAAACAAAGGTTGTGTGATAGGGGACATGATAATGACCCAGATCCTTCAGGGATAACCGATAACCTCAGGGGGCTATCATGATAAGCCGTGTCCAACACCTCTAGAGGGTGACAAAATTCTATATCTTGTCATCAAAACGTGGTACATTGTTCTTCAAGATGGCAATATTTTGCAACTTTAACCAACAAAATAGAAGGATTTGACAACAAGATTGGGGATTATTTACCAACACTTGCGATGGAATATAACCCTTAAAATGTTGATGGGTGTCATTCCCCTGGGTACTTGTACGTTCATCCCAGCTAGGAACGGCTTTTTTGTAAAAAGGAAAACCAGGCTCACCCATTTCTGAATTGGTCAAGCGTAGTGTGTTTGAGGGACTTAACTTGACCCATCGCCACCCTGCTGGTGAAAGGTCAAAGGTGTCTGCCTTGCTTCATCCTAAAGCAATCGCCAAACATGAAAAATAGCTTTATAACTATAGAAAACATGTATGTGATCTGTATATATGTATATCATATATCCGTATATCTGTGTATACGGATATATATATATAGTTTTTGTGTTCACTATGAATTACTCAATTTGGGATCGTCTGTAGTAAACTGACCCCCCAAAAAAAGAGAGAAACATCGGATGCATCTTCCACCAGATCCCCGCCTCCTCATTCTTGGTGCGACGCACCGGCAAATGCATGCGCGCCCAACTGTCAACCTGACCGAGGGAATCAATGGATGTCACTTAGCCTCTGGTAACATGGCTAGCTGGGAAATCCACCATACATGGAAGTTTATATGGGAAAAGCAACTATACAGATTATATCAGATTATCATTGTCAGGGGTATCATAGATTCTCATAGATTCTCTACTTTAAGCCATATTTTTGGTGATATCAATGGATTTCTTTCGGGGAAACCATCACCTAAACGATCATTCAAAAGAAAACATGGCTGGAACATGTTGGAACCATCGATTTTGCACCGAAACTCTTGGGGGGATTCGAAACAATTTCTTCATTCAACGAAGTCATGCGAAGTCATTCGGAGCCATTAAAAATACCTGTGGGCACCATTGTAGTGGGGTTGGTGAATCGGAGGTATTCCAAACTTACGCTTAAACTTGTGGCTTAGTTCACTGTCCCTGCAAAGCCAGGCTGTATAACCCACAAGAACCAGGCAACAAGGGTATCTTTGATGGCGCTAATGTCATTTACATGGTATAATTGATAGCGATTGGGATCGTCTAGCTCCAAAATGGTACATATTCAATAGGGTGCAGCTAGTTGTAGCTCTAAAATAGCTTGATAAACCAGTTTCAAAGGGTGCTGTATGTGTATATTATATATATACTTAGATAGTTAGTTAGTTAGTTAGATAGATAGATAGATGATAGATAGATAGATAGATAGATAGATAGATAGATAGATAGATAGATAGATAGATAGATAGATAGATAGATAGATAGATAGATAGATAGATAGATAGATAATAGATAGATAGATAGATAGATAGATAGATAGATAGATAGATAGATAGATAGATAGATAGATAGATAGATAGATAGATAGATAGATAGATAGATAGATAGATAGATAGATAGATAGATAGATAGATAGATAGATAGATAGATAGATAGATAGATAGATAGATAGATAGATAGATAGATAGATAGACTAGACTAGATAGACTAGATAGACTAGATAGACTAGATAGATAGATAGATTGATTGATAGATTGATAGATTGATAGATTGATAGATAGATAATTAGATAATTAGATAATTAGATAATTAGATAATTAGATACTTAGATAATTAGATAATTAGATAATTAGATAATTAGATTAGGTTAGGTTAGATTAGATTAGATTAGATTGAGAGATAGAGAGATAGAGAGATAGAGAGATAGAGAGCTAGAGAGATAGAGAGATAGAGAGATAGAGAGATAGAGAGATAGAGAGATAGAGAGATAGAGAGATAGAGAGCTAGAGAGATAGAGAGCTAGAGAGCTAGAGAGCTAGAGAGAGATAGAGAGATAGAGAGATAGAGAGATAGAGAGATAGAGAGATAGAGAGATAGAGAGAGAGAGATAGAGAGATAGAGAGATAGAGAGATAGAGAGATAGAGAGATAGAGAGATAGAGAGATAGAGAGATAGAGAGATAGAGAGATAGAGAGCTAGAGAGATAGAGAGATAGAGAGATAGAGAGATAGAGAGATAGAGAGATAGAGAGATAGAGAGATAGAGAGATAGAGAGATAGAGAGATAGAGAGCTAGAGAGCTAGAGAGCTAGAGAGCTAGAGAGCTAGAGAGCTAGAGAGCTAGAGAGCTAGAGAGCTAGAGAGCTAGAGAGATAGAGAGCTAGAGAGATAGAGAGATAGAGAGATAGAGAGCTAGAGAGATAGAGAGATAGAGAGATAGAGAGATAGAGAGATAGAGAGATAGAGAGATAGAGAGATAGAGAGCTAGAGAGCTAGAGAGCTAGAGAGCTAGAGAGCTAGAGAGATCTAGAGAGCTAGAGAGATAGAGAGATAGAGAGATAGAGAGCTAGAGAGATAGAGAGATAGAGAGATAGAGAGATAGAGAGATAGAGAGCTAGAGAGATAGAGAGATAGAGAGATAGAGAGATAGAGAGATAGAGAGATAGAGAGCTAGAGAGATAGAGAGATAGAGAGATAGAGAGATAGAGAGATAGAGAGCTAGAGAGATAGAGAGATAGAGAGATAGAGAGATAGAGAGATAGAGAGATAGAGAGCTAGAGAGATAGAGAGCTAGAGAGATAGAGAGATAGAGAGATAGAGAGATAGAGAGCTAGAGAGCTAGAGAGCTAGAGAGCTAGAGAGATAGAGAGCTAGAGAGATAGAGAGATAGAGAGATAGAGAGATAGAGAGATAGAGAGATAGAGAGATAGAGAGATAGAGAGATAGAGAGATAGAGAGATGGAGAGCTAGAGAGATAGAGAGATAGAGAGATAGAGAGATAGAGAGATAGAGAGCTAGAGAGATAGAGAGATAGAGAGCTAGAGAGATAGAGAGATAGAGAGATAGAGAGCTAGAGAGATAGAGAGATAGAGAGCTAGAGAGCTAGAGAGCTAGAGAGATAGAGAGCTAGAGAGATAGAGAGATAGAGAGATAGAGAGCTAGAGAGATAGAGAGATAGAGAGATAGAGAGATAGAGAGATAGAGAGATAGAGAGCTAGAGAGATTGAGAGAGATGTATACAATCACACAATCACAATAAAACAATAAATAATAGATATCAATAGGGGTATAAGATCGAAAACTCACCACTTCGCTCTTTTTTATGACTCGTGGTCCATAAAAATGGGGAATTGCTATTTCTCAACCCCTGGTGTGCTCCTGAATCCTAAAAAACTCGAAGCATTCTGGTGCGAGAGATTCAGTAGATGTTCTCTTTGCATGCTGTAGAAGTCGCACAAATAGATGGGGCATTCATCATCCAAGTATAACCAAACGAAACATGGAGTTTCAAGCTGATCCAGGACGCGCTGAAATGCCTCAAAAAAATTAACAGTCTTCCCCCATGTGATATACCACCAGCCTAACCTGGAAGTAAAGTATTGAGTCCCCACTTCCAATCGGACAATCACTAGAAAATGGTGGATTTTACGATTTTATGAACTAATTACCACCGGCAAAATCTTCATATTCGCCATCAAATTCCCAGTTGTGGCGTGGCGTGAAACGGCCATTTTTGCCTCGCAGGTGCTGGGTTCCTCTTCAATCTGCCACTCCGCACCTGGAAAAAAATGTCGCGCAACGAAACCATCAAATTCAGAGGCCAAATCATCCAAAATCGTGGTACAAGATCAGGTGATCATGGTGGTGGTCAAGAACATCGAACTATCGAAATATGTTGATCTTCAGCAGGGTACCAATTTGTGATCGATTTTTTATCGCCACCGTGGCTGGAAAGCTGGGGTTCTGATGGTTTTTTAATGATGTCCACACTCAACATCGACTGTTATCCACGCTGAAAATCGCTGTTTCAACAAAACTCAGAACATATCCAAGTCAAGTTTCAGGAAATGACTATGATTCAAAACCCTGCCACCGGAATGGTACCCTAAGTCATAGCTGGATGATGCTAAATGTTTACTCCCCAGATGGTAATAATAGGTTTTGAATGGCTTTGACCCATCCCCAAATAAATTTCGGGAAACTTTCATCTTGATCTTCACATGGTATCCCAAGTCGTGGCTGTTCTATCCCATCCCTTGGACAACCCACCGAGTGCTCCATCGTGCAGCGCTTCGCCATGATCGTGGTGAACATAGCACCTGGGCGTGCAGAAGTGGCTGGATGTCGCATCCAAAGTTTAAGCGTAAATGAGGAGCTAATCATTTGTAATAACCAAAAATACAACAATAACCACAAATAAATAGCTAATTAATGTATATATATATACATATATAATTATATATGTATAGTTAAATATAAATATATATATATTATGTATAATATATATCTATGTGTAATCCGCCGACCCCTGCCTAGCCTTGGCCTAGGCGGGGCGGCGCCCGGGATCACCGTAGGTGTGCGGCATGGCCTTGTGCCGGCTTTGGCTTCAAAGCCTCAAAACCTACGCAGCAGCTTTCGAAGGCGTGCCGCTTGCTTGGCCATGGTACCTCCCTAGGCCCCACAAGCTGTTTCTCTTGGGCTTCGAAACTGCAGGCCTCAAAAGCCTCAAAACCTCCGCAGCAGCTTTCGAAGGCCTCAAAACCTCACAACCCTCCGCAGCGGCTTTCGAAGGCGTGCCGCTTGCTTGGCCATGGTACCTCCCTAGGCCCCACAAGCTGTTTCTATTGGGCTTCGAAACTGCTATGTGGCACGTTTTGGGCAAGCCTCAAAAGCCTCAAAACCTCCGCAGCAGCTTGCGAAGGCCTCAAAACCTCACAACCCTCCGCAGCAGCTTTCGAAGGCGTGCCGCTTGCTTGGCCATGGTACCTCCCTAGGCCTCACAAGCTGTTTCTATTGGGCTTCGAAACTGCTATGTGGCACGTTTTCGGGCAGGCCTCAAAAGCCTCAAAACCTCCGCAGCAGCTCAAAACCTCACAACCCTCCGCAGCAGCTTTCGAAGGCGTGCCGCTTGCTTGGCCATGGTACCTCCCTAGGCCCCACAAGCTGTTTCTCTTGGGCTTCGAAACAGCCTCAAAACCTCCGCAGCAGCTTTCGAAGGCCTTACAACCTCACAACCCCCCACAGCAGCTTTCGAAGGCGTGCCGCTTGCTTGGCCATGGTACCTCCCTAGGCTCGACAAGCTGTTTCTATTGGGCTTCGAAACTGCTATGTGGCACATTTTGGGCAGGCCTCAAAAGCCTCAAAACCTCCGCAGCAGCTTTCGAAGGCCTTAGAACCTCACAACCCTCTGCAGCACCTTTCGAAGGCGTGCCGCTTGCTTGGCCATGGTACCTCCCTAGGCTCCACAAGCTGTTTCTATTCGGCTTCGAAATTGCTTTGTGGCACGTTTTGGGCAGGCCTTAAAAGCCTCAAAACCTCCGCAGCAGCTTTCGAAGGCCTTGGAACCTCACAGCCCTCCGCAGCAGCTTTCGAAGGCGTGCCGCTTGCTTGGCCATGCTGTTTCTATTGGGCTGCGAAACTGCTATGTGGCACGTTTTGGGCAGGCCTCAAAAGCTGCAAAACCTCCGCAGCAGCTTTCGAAGGCCTTGGAACGTCACAACCCTCCGCAGCAGCTTTCGAAGGCGTGCCGCTTGCTTGGCCATGGTACCTCCCTAGGCCCCACAAGCTGTTTCTATTTGGCTTCGAAACTGCTATGTGGCACGTTTTGGGCAGGCCTCAAAAGCCTCAAAACCTCCGCAGCAGCTTTCGAATGCCTTATAACCTCACAGCCCTCCGCAGCAGCTTTCGAAGGCGTGCCGCTTGCTTGGCCATGGTACCTCCCTAGGCCCCACAAGCTGTTTCTATTGGGCTTCGAAACTGCTATGTGGCACGTTTTGGGCAGGCCTCAAAAGCCTCAAAACCTCCGCAGCAGCTTTCGAAGGCCTTGGAACCTCACAACCCTCCGCAGCGGCTTTCGAAGGCGTACCGCTTGCTTGGCCATGGTACCTCCCTAGGCCCCACAAGCTGTTTCTATTGGGCTTCGAAACTGCTATGTGGCACGTTTTGGGCAGGCCTCAAAAGCTGCAAAACCTCCGCAGCAGCTTTCGAAGGCCTTAGAACTTCACACCCCTCCGCAGCAGCTTTCGAAGGCGTCCCGCTTGCTTGGCCGTGGTACCTCCCTAGGCCCCACAAGCTGTTTCTATTGGGCTTCGAAACTGCTATGTGGCGCGTTTTGGGCAGGCCTTAAAAGCTTCAAAACTTCCGCAGCAGCTTTCGAAGGCCTTAGAACCTCACAACCTTCCGCAGCAGCTTTCGAAGGCGTGCCGCTTGCTTGGCCATGGTACCTCCCTAGGCCTCACAAGCTGTTTCTCTTCAGCTTTGAAACTGGTATGTGGCACGTTTTGGGCAGGCCTTGAAAGCCTCAAAACCAAACAGCGGGTTTTCCCCTCCAAAACCTGCAAATTCCAGAAATCCCACATTTTTGAAGGAACTGGAAGGTCTAAGTATATATATATATCTCTCTCTCTCTATGTGTGTGTGAATCTCCGCCGACCCCTGCCTTGCCCCCCCTTAATGGGGGGTCGGCGGCACCAGGGCGTTAGCCCATTTATTATATGTATAATTAAATATTAATGTGTAATTACGTATATACGTATGTATAATTATGTTATAAGTATAATTAAATATGTATGTAAATTTACATATATGTGTACGTATGATTATATAGAAATGTATGTATAATTATAATATATAAATGCGTATACTTATATATATATATATATACACACATAAACCCTTTGTTTGTCTTGGCCATGTAGTGGCCATATGAAGTAACATGAAACCAAATTTGAAGCCAGTTAGAGTAGTGGGATATACAGTAACTCCTCTTGTACATGTTTCCTCATGTTTGGCCACTTTCGAACTGGGACGTCCACAAAGTATGGTTTCCCAATTTGTTCCCCTGAAACAATAAAGATGGTAAAGAACGGCACCATGTCCAATCAGTTGATGGAATGGCTTTTAACACTTCTTAACCATCATTTCATTTAACCATCATTTAACCATCATTTAACCATCATTTCCAGACAAACTCATAGAATCCCTGCATATCCCTACTGGTTTTCTCTGGTTTTCCAGCAGCCTGGGTCCTGTCCAAGTCACATGCGAAGTCGACTGACTAATGCCTCTGAGATGGCTGTGGCTGCAAAAGAAAAGGCCTCGCGATGGAAAAAACCATGGCGAAATGGTTATCCAATGGGAAATCTCGGATCAAAATGGGGTAATTGAAGCAGGATGAACCATCCAAAACAGACATTTGTTGAGAAACAATCCCATCTCCCTGTGTGGGCCCAAAGTGACCAGATTGGGCACAACCAAGGTCTGGGGTTCACAATTTCATTGCGAAGGGGAAGAGATGATAGGACATAATTCAAGAGTGCATGACGCTATCTGGGCCCATAATAAAATCATATATATATAACTCATGTATATACATATATAGGAAATAGTTTTAAAATTCCACTTATTAAGCATATGTACGAGACTATCATACAATGCCAAACAAATGTTCAAACACGTTGTAAAAACTTAAGGCCCACAGCGTCCCTCACATCAGAAGGGCAGTCCTGGCACTCCCCGTTGTCAAGTGACGTGGAGTACTTCACCCAAGTCTTTTGAATATGGATATGTCATATGTCATAATGCCTTGATGCCTTGATATCCTAGAAACTTGACAGTTAGAGGCTTAGTCAAAATAAGAAACCTCTCACTCCCCCAGTTCCCAAAGGCGTCTATATAGCATCTATATAAAAGGGAAGTGGGTTGGGAAAAAAAAAATGACGCTCCCGTCTCTAGATGCCTTGGAAACTTTAGGGATGCGAAACTTGACAAAAAGAGTTGTTGAGGTTTGTCTCTAGACTTTAGAACGTTCAAGAAGACCAACTGGTACGCTCAACAAAGTAGATTCTGGAATCTAGATTTCCTACATTGATAGTTTATGATTAATCAGTCATCCATCCAATTCATGCTGAATATCCCCATGTCAAAAACTGGGGCTGTGAAGGAACTGGGGCCCACATAGCGTCGCTTTCTGTAATTGAATGGGTATGTTCACCACCACCACCGCCGCCAGCACCAGCAACAACAACAACAACATCCCCAGCCCTTGCCAACCATTCAGTGATACTGGTGAGGTGACTCCCCATGGGCAAAACAGAACTGGTTGGCTTCTTCAAACCTGGCATGACTCAGTTTCAGATTGGGACCCGCATGTTGTTTCGCACCAATTTGGAGGTACCCATCCTGAAACAACCATGTGTCAGTTGTTCATTTTGAAGCCCGGAAGCCTCCACCACAGGACCCCGCACCTTTCTCTCCAAGTACTTCTGCCACAGCAGCATGCCGCCATCTGTGAGGATCCTTGGCACCAAGCCATTCAAAGATTTCAAAATATTTCAAAGCCCGTGAATTCTGAAGCAAATTTGGGATCCTTGATAGTTGGGCCCCAAGGTTACAAAAATACGGATGGTTCAGGTTTGGGTTACAAGGAGCCTCCTTTCTGGCTGATCTATGAGTCAAAGTACCACCCCATCAGGATGGGAAATATAATCACCGTCTTTTAGCAGGTTACCCTATCGTGTTTATGTAATTTTACATACACCCCCACATCAGTGGTTTTACCATTCAATAAACCATGTATTCGTTCAACATACTGACTATGGTCAAGGCTTCCTTTTTTGCATGCTTCGATCTCCATGATAATGTGATTCAGTTAACTAAGCAGTCTACCCAACATTTGCCATAATTTGCCACGATAAATTATACAACTATATATACATTGATTCCAACCCTAGCCAACGAAAAAAAAAAACTTATCATACTTCAACCAAAATCGCATCCGAAATATCCGAAATAGTGAAATCAAGTATATCATCCCCCAAAGTAATATAGACCCTGCGCTCAGTCGTGGATTGGAAGATTACTTTCCACTAAACATTGCCATGTTCATCCATGTTCACTGTCTATGTTAATTTGGAGGATGATAAATTTGAATAAATCACTCAAAATCCTCAGAATTAGAACTATAAACCAACATAAATCAACTATAATTTACTATAATCACTATAAACCACCATTAATCCCCATAAACCACCATTAATCACTCTAAACATCTCTAAACCATCGTCCGTTCTTTGTTGCTTCGCCATTTCGGCCCCGCGGCTGGTCGATGGTGGAGCTCACCGCCTCTTCAGCTGTGGATAAGCCTCGGCCGTAGTCCACCCAGCGCTCCCCGTCCATGGCGAACCGGAACCGCGAACGGCGAACGTGGTGCTGATGTGTTTAAGGATTCTTTACACCTACCTATGGAGGTGTGTTTTGTTTGTTGGAAGATGTGTGTTTTGGTTGGTCGATGATGAATGGTGATCTGACATCTATGTGTATTTGTTTTATTTTGAAATGGAATGGCAATTGATCCAAGTCTCTTGGCTGAGGAGGTGGCATCTGCCAAGCCATGACAAGCCATGAGCTGATTTTTCATACTTTACGAACTGGGAAATGACCATGTTTTTAGATGTAAATCATGGTAAATCCTCTATAAATCCTCTATAAATTACGATTTTTTATAGCAATATATATATATATGTACATATGTATATAATTATGTGTATATATATATATACAATTATATATATAATTATATATATATAATTATATATATATATAATTATATATATAATATATATATAATTATATATATATCCGCCAAAAGAATGTGCATGAGGTCTAGAATATCTGACTTCATCATCCAAGCCTTCTCAACCCCCAGGAATCCCAGGAATCGGCCGCAGCCCTCTTTCCAGATGGCAGCCTAGCACCCTAACGGTGGATGAGTCGTAAAGCAATCACCCATTATAATTATATAATGGTTGGGGGTATCCCAATAGCTGGTTGGTTTATAACAGTTTCTAATGGGATTTTCGATTATAAACCAACCAGCTATTGGGATACCCGCATTTATGGAAACCACCATATGGATCCATGCGGACTGAAATCCGAAACTGATCAAGTTCGAGTTCGGGATGATTTTAGTTTCCCGAATAACCTTGGCAAGATCTTTCGACGAAATGCCGAACAAACACCTCTGGTTTCTTAGCGTCTACGAGTCTGATCATTCAACATAGCTATGAAAGATGGTCCATTTATAGATGATTTGGGGGTTTCCATAAATGGGGGTAGCCCAATAGCTGGATGGTTTGTAAGCGAAATCCTATTGAAATGGATGATTTGGGGGTACCCCTATTTTAGGAAACCCCCATTTACCCATTCAACTTGTCCATAGCTATGTTAGTTTACCAGATGGTACATTCACCATTTATGGATCATGTTTCCCATCAAAACATCGTTTAACAATAGTGAAGTGTCATGAATATTTTCCATACATTAAATGACCAAATAGTAAGGCGATCTCCAGACACTGACAGATCTGGAAGATGATGTTTGTTGATATGGCAGTCATTGGGTTCCCATGTCAGTTTTTCTCAGTGTAAGCATGCATAAATCTTATATAGTATATAATATGATATATATATATATGTGTATATATATATGTTATATATGTAGATATGAATATGATATAGCAATTTAAAATAGAATTATAATATACACTGTACATAATATAAACGTATATATATATATGTGTGTTCAACACAATATGGTTATAATATTTACAATAATATGTATATTTATATTTAACATTATAATAGTATATTATACAAATATGTACAACAATATGTAATATGTATATAGAATATTTGATGACAAGAGTGTATCAACTGGGCTCTCACCCACCATCGGCGCTGGACGCATGAGACGCCCCTGTCACCGCTCCTTTGCGCGGGCACCGCGGTGGTAAATCACGGGCTGTCAGCATCCGCACCGGGCTGTGCAGTCGGTGTTAAAAGCTTGTCACAGTTGAGGTGAAAATATCCAGCAAATTCTGGCTGAATGAATAATCATTCTTGGAATAGTTTTGCTTTTTGTTTGACAAATCGCGGACATAATAACCATGATATTGGGTGATATCTTGTCTGGTTGCATTAATTAAAGAAAAATTCTGGGAGAATTTCCCAAATCCCACGCATCATTTGCAGTGACCTCAGCCTGGCCATCGGTAAAAAAAACTGCTGCATCCTGCCCACCCGTCAGTGGTAAAGACAATACTGAAACATCCCCAAATGCTGAGCAATGGTGGGTTTTTGCCACATTACCCTAAACATGGGCGCTAGGTTGCTGTTCGTCTGCTGAAAAATCACCTGCAACAGAGCTTTCAACACGACTGACTTTCAACGTCCCACGATTGTCTGCTGGCGCACTTTCTGGCCGCGGGCTCCCATTTTGTGTCTCCATTGGGGTTGAACTGCTTCACGGTGGAACCTAGAGCTAGAGCGCAATTTTAGCAACAACTCCCTGGATCTTTCATCCGCAGAATTAACATCTCCCTTGACCCCGCCACATTTGTGTTGTTTGGCTTTTCACATTTGTATGGGTGCCTCTGAAAATGGGGTAGACCCCCAGAGTGGCCATCGATTTTTTTCGGAGGTACAGTAGGCCCAGGGGTACCCTATTTTCAGACAAACCCATATCTGGCTGAAACTCTGCTAAGAAATCCTTTGACTGGCGCAGTCTTTACCGAAAAAACTTTAAAATATATGCTTGAATCAATGATTTGACTTCGTCAAGCAAAATCTACTATTACAGACCTTACTAGTCAATTGCTAGTCAAATTCGTCACTGTAACTTACTGTCAGGTCATTTGACTTGTGAGGATGACTCCATTCACCGTACATCTCAAAACGAAAGGGGCTGAGCATGGATGCCCAGAGCCTCCATCCCAAAAGCGGTTCATGAATGTTCATGAAACATGACCCACTGTGCCAGGACGGACCTTCCTGGTGTTCAAAACAGCTGGGGTTTATTATGGATTTTCAATGATGTTCATCCCCCACCAAATGCAATTTATTGATCATCATTTCCCTTGAAATTGTCATACATTGGGGATAAAATCAGCATTTTCAGACGCACCCGAGCCAGATCCGTTCCAAATGATTCAGTTCATCCCCATGATGACTCCAGCCGAGTCGAGGCAAAGGAGACTCACCATGGTCATGGCAGTCGTGGTCGACTGGGATGACTGGGGGTATTTTGATTTTAGGCAACCCCCTTTTTTTGTCCTGGCATGTTAAGCTGCATCAAGCTGCATCAGTGGCTACGAATTCAAGGAAAAACCATGACTTTGATGAGTAAGGGATCAAAAAAATGGATTAACAAAAACATTGGACCAAAAAAGATCAAAACCAAAAATATCTGGGATCGCAAAAAAAATACACCACCTGGGATTACCTGCGGGAAGGGGCAAGGTGCGCACGGGAGGTGGGGAGGGTTCCAAGGGCGCAAGAAGAAGTCGCTGTATCTTCCTTCTTTCTTTGTAGAGTTTGTGTTTGCCTCACAAGGTCATAATCCAGTTATGACTATGGCATAACCGGGATAACTCAGGCCAGGTAGGACTCCTTCTTCGTTTTTGTCTCCTCGTTTGATCCGAAACAATTTCGTGATCCCAACGTGTTTATCCGAGATGTTTTTTCATCTCTCCTCAATTTGACGCATCACATGGATCAACAGAGCCTCCTAAATTTCCAATGGCAGTGGGAAAACAATCGTCAAAACTCAATCTTGCGGATTTCATGTTGGGGTCAGGAGAGTCATCCACACTCGGTTCATCATTAAATCCTATCAAGCTTGAGTCTTCCTTTGCCCCCAAAAATTGCACCTTTGTACATCATGGAGGTCCCAGACCCTGGGACCTGCCACATTACTGGCTCACGTGTTGTGGCCAGATATCAGCATCTCGAAACAATTTCTGGCGGTAACCTGCTCGCACGACTCAGGCGGTAAGTCCCAAGAACAGATCGGAGACCATGCTGCAACTTCCAGGACATGACAAAGATGGATTCCACCAAAAGCTGGTACGAGCGCACTAGCCAGTAATCCACAAATCCACGATGAATCATATTATAATCATATTGTTCCCCATGAAATTGCCATTTGGGCATGCCCACTTTCAGGTGCAGGTTGCAAGTCTGATTCTGACTGCCGGTACCAATCGGAGTCAGGTGGGAGACCTTCTGACTGATGATCTCCATTGATCAAAGTGGGACATTATAGTGTAATATTATATATAATATCATAAACATGGCCCAGAGAGGATCAAACCCACCCTGTAAGCCGTACATCCTTGGTGTTATTTCCGGCCAAACCTACTCAACGACAAACGTTTTGAGAGAGGTCCATCTGGACATGTCTGCACGCGTGGCATATCTCCAACCATTGGATTTTGCTTTACTGAAATGGACCATCGGCTGGTAACCGCTACATTTGTTGAAACTGCCTAGGCTAGGCCGGTTATGAAATTTCGAGGAAAATCATGGAAAACGACTTCCCGAAGCAACTGGGCCACCATCATTTCCCCAACCAACCATGATCAAATCTGCGAAAAATTGAGGTGCCGCAAAATACCTGGCTTTTGCCCATGAAAAATGACCCAAGGGCCGGATGATTTTGGAGTCCCTGAATTTGAGACCAAGTAGCCTCAAACTGAATGGCCGATTAGAATAATTCACCAAACTGGACGTAAACCATTTGTTGGGGGTCGTTATATATGCTATTCATATCTATTTATATCTATGTATATCGATTTATATCTATTTATATCTATCTATATCTATTTATATCTATTTATCGAAGGAAGTTTAGAAGTTAAACTTCCGACAATATGGACAGATGAAAAGCAGAGCAGGGAAGAGGCAGAGAGAAGAGAAAGATCAGAAGAAAGAAGAGTAGAAGAGAAAGAGTCAGAAGAAAGCAGATGCAGATGCGCGAAAAGGTAGGAAAGTCGCGAAACACTGTGTTTTCCCAATGATTTGGGGCTCCGGAGGGTCGAAAAGTAGGCTCGCTAAAGCGGCGGGTGCGGAGCCAGCTGGCCAGATGAGAGATGAAAAGTTGCACGCCGTTGTGGCGCGAAGCACATTTCCAAGTCAAAATGTACAAAACACCTCAGTGTCGGACCACTTTTGGAAGTTGAGATGTCGAAAAAGTGCACGCCGTTGTGGCGCAAAGCACATTTCGAAGTCAAAATGTACAAAACACACCATGCTCGGACCACTTTTGGAAGTTGAGATGTCGAAAAAGTGCACGCCGTTGTGGCGCGAAACACATTTCGAAGTCAAAATGTTAAAAACACT